CGAATAGTTTAGGTTTACATAGATGATACACCCATTGATGATGACAGATGGCTTCGGATGTCATGTGCCATGGTGAACAGGTCCCAACAGGCCATTTGATGAATCTGCAGATGTTACTGCATTCATTGTGTCACACATCACTGGATGATACTCATGTCATGCCTAACATGCTTGGCAACTGTGCATATCAACAAACTGAGGTCATACAGCTCCATGAATACATCAAGATCACTAAGTGAGATCTCCAACAATAGCAATATATTCAATTCAAGTTTATTAACGTAATTTGGAAAAAAATTCCAGTTACAAGGGGTGCATTGGGTTACAAATATTAGTAATTATATAATATCTTCCAACAATAAATAATTATTATGTAAGTTTCTTCTATTCTTAAATTTAATCATTCCATTATAATATTAAACAAAAGTTAGAACAACAACAAAATTAAATATATATATCATTCATTAAGGCTCTCCACCATTTTAATATATTTAATAATGAACTGATAAATTCTGATAATCATAGTTGGACCCATCTGAAATATTTTTTGATAGAATTCTTGCATAGATTTGATGGCTGACAAGGTAGAAATACCAGTCTGTTCTCTAAGTTTGGAACAACCTTTGCACATACTAATTATATGATATACATAAATTTGGTCATTACATAGCTTACATTGTTTATTCCTGATGTCCAAATAATTTCCTTCAACTATGATATAAAAACTGTTTAATCTGATCTGCATATAAAATCTTTTCATCCCAAATGGTATTTTATAATGTATATAATTACTTGCTGGAGGGAAATTTAGATTAACTTTATACCATGGGTGAAATTTTGACTCCTGTAAATTTTTCATCTCACGAACAATTGAATTATTATACATATTCTCCACCAATAAAGATATTCCGTAATTCCAGTCTGTTTCTGAACTGTTAAATAATAAATGAGAAAAACCATAACTTGCCAATTTGATCCTTAGTTTGTTATACCAGTTGTTTTGATAGTTCTTTTTGTTCTCTGCCAAGGTTTTTAAAACTTTTAATATCGTATTAACCTTTATATTCTCACTAGTTAACAGTCTCTTCAGAAATTTCATGATCCTAATTACCAAGTAAGGCTCTAATAACATTCTATTTGTATCATGGCGAATCGCATACCCTGGCACTGCTTTGTCTAATCCGTAAATTTTTCTTATAAATTGTAATTGAATTTTTTCAAAGTAAGATAACCAGTCCAGACCCCATAATGGGAGAGCATAGCAAATAGAGTTGATAACCAGCGCTGAAAACAGTCGAAACTGCATTTGAATAGAATTTGTTTTCATTTTAACAAATAAACTAATTAAATTATTAATTATTCTGTATGCTTTGGTCTTCATCCACTGAATGTGTTTTCCAAAAGACAACGTTGAAGTAATAAGAACCCCCAAATATAATACTTCCTCAGTTACTTTCAATTTTTCGCTCAACAAATAAAAGTCATGATCTTTCCTCGCCAGCTTACCTCCCTTTCGAAACACAACAATATGGGTCTTATTCGGGTTGATCTTCAATCCAAAAAGTATCTTTCAGTTAAATTTAATTTTCTTTGTAGACCTATTTTAGTCGGTGAAATCAATACCACATCATCAGCATATTGTATCGAATGTACTATCATATTGTCTTTAATAATAATACCATCCTCCTCCTTCATAAATTGATTATCTAAGTCATGGATCATAAAGTTGAATAAATAGGGTGATAACGGATCACCTTGTAGTAAACCGCCACATATCTCGAACGAAGGGTAAGTAATTAGACCACTTTTAATTGTAATAATGTACTGACCAAACAATGACCTTATTACCCTTGTAAATGTTGAGTCTGCTCCATAGCCTTCCAATTTCGCACATAATTTATCCACTGAAATAGAGTCAAATGCTTTTTCTAGATCTAAAAAGGCCACATATACCTTACGTCTTTTTTTAGCAAGATGAATTTGTATTGTCGAAAGCAATATAAATATGGCCACTTCCGTCCCACTCTTCTTTACAAAAGCAAATTGTGAATTTGAAATTAAACCATTTACCTTAGTCCATATTTCAAACCTATTCACAAGAACTGATGTAAATATTTTTCTCGACGTTGATAATATGGCTATAGGTCGGTAATTCTTTGGATCAGTATCTTCACCTTTTTTAAATATCATACGAAAATAAGCAGAATGCCACATTTCGGGCAAAAAAACTTGATTATAAATGTAATTAAAATTTGACGCTAAAGCTTCTATCATATTTATAGGTAAACGTTTTAAAAAGCTAACTGGTATTAAATCCGGTCCCACCGCTGTCGATTCTCTTAGTTTTGTAATAATCTTCACTAATTCACCTGCTACTATTGGCTGATTCAACACCTTCTCTTTGTCTCTTTCCGTAGATAAACCTTTATCGTCAAGAATTGTTAAAGCACTCGACTCACGCTTCTTAAAAAACCTATACCAGTTTTCGAAACCAATAGGATCCTGATATTCCATCTTCTTTCTCGGATGGTATTTTTTTTATCACTGACCAAAAAAACTTATTATTGTTTTTTTCTGATAATAATTTTCTGTTTAATTTATTGTAATAACTTCTTTTCTTGGCCTTTATAAGGTTATTGTATGTTCTTTTTGCACTTATATATTCAGTTAATCGCTCTTTCGATCTAGTTTTACGAAATAAAGTTAAATAATATTCTTTAAGTTTCTTGGCTCTGTAACAACACAAGTCGAACCATTCCTGTTTGAACTTATTTTTCATTTTAACTGACTGTTGGATTCTTTGTGGACTTTGTTCTATAATATATTCGTTACAAATTTTAATCAATGTGGAATAAATTTGATCGGGCCTCACTTCTTGAATTAGGGCTGTTCTATTACCTATTTCAGCCTCAAATTTATTAGTATTGTATTTATATTTCTTTGTTTGAGTCAAAATTTCCTTACTTATTTTGTTTTTATAAATCATTACATTTGTTTTTATCGTTAAGGTGACAGGAAAATGATCTGATAAATCATTATCGAGTACTCTCAATTCAACACACTGGTCTAATACAGACTCAGTACAAATTATATAATCAATGACTGACGTACCTGCTGCCGAAATGAATGTGTGTCTACCAGGATAATCTTCTTTCATGCGTCCATTTAAAATAAATAAGTCACTCTTTTTCACCCAATTTATCAATAGCTTTCCTTTTTTGTTAATTTCATTATCATTGCTGTTTCTTAAACTATAAACCGTGGGATTAAACCCTGTATAATCGGAATCAATTTCATTGCTAATTCTGGCATTAAAGTCCCCTAGGATAATCCATGATGTTGTAAGATGCGACCAATCTGAATAAATCTTCTCAATTTCTTGGAATGGTGACTGCTGGGACTCATATGGAGGAGAATAGTAGACCATAATTGCAATATAACTATTGGGACTCCAATTTGTTTTAAATCCATCCACATTAATTATGGCAAATATTAAATTAACATTAGAATGAAAATAAATCCACTCTCCCAGGTGTTTCTTCACCAATAACAACAATCCACCCTTAGGTCTTCCAACTCCCAGTTTTTTTGTAGCTGGGGCCGTTAAATAGTTAAATGTGGGTTGCAAGAATTCCATCTCTTTAGCAGTTAGTTCAGTAATCCAGGTTTCTTCCAAACCAATAATCTCGTATTGTTTCATTAATTTTTGGAAATAAGTAGAATATAATTTTTTTCTAAGTCCTTGAGTGTTCCAATTTATAATCGTAATTTTTAGTTCTTTATCTGGTGTTAAATTTGTTTTCATAAAATTATTGCTGCTATTCTTACCAACTCTAATGTTTATTTTAGCTGCTATGTTAGTTAGTTGATTTCCACTTCTAAAAAAGAACCAGTATCCACTAAACAGTTCTCAGTTAAATTATAAGTAATTTTCTTATTGTTGTAAATTAGACAATCATTTCGTAATAAAATCGGTCTACCCTTTTTCTTTTCCTTTATATAATATGGGATCAATTTTGCTCTTCTTTCCCTAGATTCTCGAGTGAGATCAGGTGTTATATGTAATTTACTATATAACTCATTAGAGGATTCTTTTTTATACTTATAAAACAATGACAATATTTGGTTTTTTCTCTGAATTGAACTTAGAGTGATTTTTAAAATAGTTGGAGCTACTTTCTTTATTACATAATAGTCCCTTATTTCCTCTGTCTTAAATTCGGTAATCCTCAACTCTTCTTCCATAAATCTACCTAGACTTTCTCTAATATTCATATTATCAGACAAAGGGTATCCGAATACTATCAAATTAGACTGATTTGATGTATTTATAATTTCGTTTGTATTTATAATTTCGTTTGTAAAGTATTTTTGGGCTTCCAGTTTCCTATTTAGTTCTGGCAATGCTATTTCTAAATTATTAACCTTCTGTTCCATTAATCCAAGTCTAATCTTAAATTCTTTATTATCCTCATGTAGCCGGCTTATCTCTGTTTTAACTTCTAATATTAGTTCAGTTATAGCTCCATGTGAAGCTTGAATTAATTTAGTCATTTGGCGTAAACTTGAGGTAATCGGACAGTCTTCTCTCTCTATCGACTCCAAACATTCCACGAATGTAGATTCAAAATCAAAATCACTCACCTCCTCAGCTGTTTTCTCACTTTTCTCCTTCTCCCTCGAAGCAGGCCTTGGTTTACGTAACATATTCTCCAAATTAGTCGGTTTAGACATCTTAACAGCATTGTTACTTCTTGTTGATGGTGGTCGACCTCTCTTCGGTGGTGAATGTGATAAAGGGCCCGGATTTTGCTCAACTCCGGCCAAAATAAGCAAATTCTGTATTATTAATAATAAATATACTTTATTCCATAGCATTTCCATCTTTTAAATTCCTATTAACTCCTCAAAACAAACTCTCACTAAAATCACTCCAACACCGATGAACGCTAGAAGCGCCCCCATAATAATAATAAATTTAATTTTTGTTTATTATGTAGGAACTTTATATTTTGACATGGAGAAGTATGGAAATTTTGGAAAATTATCAGATATGGGTTTAGAAGAAGAAAAAGAATCTATTGATCCAGAAAAGAAAGATTATAGAGATTTTGCTTTATGGAAAGCAGTTAAACCAGGTGAACCATGGTGGAATTCACCATGGGGAAAAGGAAGACCAGGCTGGCATATTGAATGTTCAGCAATGGCTAGGTAGGTTAGATATTTAAATATTTTGGAATTAATATTTATTTTTAGAAAATGTATTTTAAATGATTTAATTATACTCAACAAATTATTTAGTTATATCTTTTTATATATATATAATTCAAAAAATCATTTGAATTCAAAATATTTAATAGAATCATTTTGAGTTCCATTTGGAGCTGCAAATTCAAATTGCATACCTATAAATTTCTACTAGTGTCCATCCGTCCATCTGTCTATCCTTCCATAATCTCAAGAACAGAGTTAAACAGACAATAGTTGAGACCAGATATGGAAAGCTTATGAGCAGGATGCTCCAATTAACTATAACAAACTTCTGGTTTACACTGTAAGTCATGTTATTTCAACTCAAAAATTTTCTCCTGAACAGTGTTAGATAGATGACTGGTATGACCCCTTATCAAGAAAAGTATGATGTACAGGGGCAAGACACTACTAAAATTGAAAGCATAAATTTTAAATTAAGTAAATTAAAAACATGATTAAAAATTGCAGCATAGCATTGTGACGATGTCACAACAAATAATTGCTCATTAGCTTTTAAAATAGTTAAATGGATAATTGATAATTATAAATTGATAGCTTGATTATAAATTATAAAAATTACAGTATGATTTATACTCTGAGATTCCAAAGAGAGACAGAAAAAGTGTAAAATCGTTACATTCTTATTTTCACTTGAAATTATCAAAAATTACAGTCATTTTGAATTCAAATATAATTATCTTTAATCTGTGTTCCACATTTATCGATATATATATATATATAGTTTAAATTTAAAAATAGTTTAAATTTTTCTGCTTTTTTTTTTTTTTTTTAAGATTTCTTTCTGCCATTTGAAGTCATGTGATGTGTTGTTACATTTATTTTATTTTAAAATAACAAAACTAATTGCTTTGATATTAATTAATAAGGGCACTACAAGCATTTCCCTGGATAGAGTCCTGCTCTAAAAATATATTATTTGCTTATTTAGATTTTTGTAAATAATTTACCCTTTCAGGGGTATGTAATCTTTAGAATAATAAAACTAACTAATTAAATATATATAGTATTATGACCTCATTTACAAAATATCAAAATTTAAATACTAAAATTAACACCTTTCTTTTAATTTCCAGCAACAGGAAGATGTTAATTTTAATATTTAGAAGTTAGTTGCAGCTTTAGAATTAACAAATATCAAATTTTAACTCTTGATATAATATTCTTCCCAAAAATTTTTATTAGCTGGGTGGAATGAAGAAATGGCTGAGTAGACAAAAAGAAATACTGTACAGTATTGTAAATTTTTCTGTTATTTATAAAGATAACCTTTCTTTATTTACAACCAAAATTGCACAACCAAATGCAAACACACTTATTTGTATATTGAATGGTATTTGAAAGAAACCGTAAAGAAGTAATTCACCACATGAGTCTCTAGTTAGAAATTGATGACTATGTTAAACTAGTACTTTTACTAATATGAATATTAGTTTTATCTTTCTTAAAATAACTAAAGGATGTTGCTTTCTGATTTAACTTCTTACTTATTGTGATTTAATAAATATAATAGCAAATTATTCACTGATCATGATAATATTTCATTCACAATTCCTTCCCCTTTGTGCACTTCTCAAAAGTTAAATAGCAATAGATATCTAAAATCTTTCAATATTAGTGATAAGTTTACATTTCATTATTATTAATTACCATGTCATCTAGTTTCATCTGCTATGTTGATCTATTGATGTCATAAATGTTCTTGCTTTCAGACAGAACAATGTTTGTCATTTTTGATTGAAGAAGAAGTTGTAACTTAATTTCATTGAAAGTACTTAAAAAATAAATTTAATTTTTATATATATTTTTGTGTATGTTATGAGTTTATTTTTGAAAAATTAATACCAAAAAGACACCCCTTTCATGATTTTGGTTGTAAAATTTGATTTTCTGTATTTCTAAATTGTGTTCTATTTAGAAAATGCTTATTTGTTTCTACAATCTTCTGGGTTGTATTATTTAATTGTTATTTTAATATATATATATAGTAGAACCTCGATTATCCGGACTAACTGGGGATGAAAATAGTCCGGATAAGGAAAAATCTGGATAATCGAAAAAATAATAATTGACAGTGAAAGACATGTGCATACAGTATGAATAATTTTTATTTGTCTAGATTTACATATATTGTAGCTTCAATATTAAATTATTTTAGTAAGAAACTCAATTATTGTTTAATTTCATAATTTTTTCACTTTGTTTTTTTATATCCGAGATCGTTGACGTTCCAACACCATATTTATTAGATAATGAACGTCCAGACTCATCGCGTTTCAAAGCATTGATTATATCCAATTTGTCTTTAATGATAATACAACACGCTTTCTTTTCGATGACATATCGGTAATATTAAAAATAAATACTGTATTTAAATCATGATCAAATTTTCAAGAAACAAATGTTCATACTGAATTTGGACTACTACTGACCGGTACTAACAGACTGCCTATTGTTTAAAGGCCCTCTGGTGGTGCAAGAAGACAGATTTTATAAAATACAGTAAAAAGCAGTTGAAATTGTCAAATTTTTATTCATAAAAATGCAAACTATTTATTGCTTTATGATGAGTAAAATTTTTTCATCTTGTTCATGGCTTTTAAATAATGCTTAAACCTTTGAGGCGCGAGGCCTCTTGGACCGCAAGGCCGTAGCGGTAGCCCACGTTGTTCATGCCTTACACTGCCGTTGGCCATAGAAATGATGTAATTTCAATATAAATTATTTATAAATATGTATGTCAAGTTATATTTTTATTACGACGCAACATGTATTAAAAAGTTTACGACCACTGTGCCGGATGTTGGATGTTGGAACAAAAAAAGTTATGCGTTCCATCACGTACATAAAAAGTATTGCAATTTGCCAAGTGCAAATCAGCAAATTTGTAAAATTTTTGTTTATTTTGAACAATCCGGATAATCAAGGTCCAGATAATCGAGGTTCTACTGTATATATATAAGTTGTGTTTCAAATTTATACGGACACGAAAAAATTAAAGTGAAACACAAATTTGCTGCATTAAGTGACAAATGTTTTATTAAAAATAACATGGATTTACATGTTTCCACATTGCAAAATAAGAATTTTAATCAAACATTAACATTTTGTCACTGAAAATAATGTTTATGAAACTCTTATACAAAAAAACTGTTACATATTTATCCGGACAGGTTTCAAATTGCAAAGTTTTCTTACAATTTAATGGCCAATGTAACCACCATTTAACTTAATTACATTAAATACTCGATTAGGCATTGTTTCAATTAGATTCTGAAGGAATTCAATCTTAAGTTTATCCCAAGCATCTGAAATTGCTGCCTTCAAATCATGAATTGTGGAAAACTGCTTTCCATTGGCATAAACTGTACGAACCATCATCCCCCAAAGATTTTCCATCGGATTCAGGTCAGGGCTTCTAGCAGGCCATGTCATCAGATTAATATTTTTACGTTTAAACCACATTTTTGTTGATTTAGAGGCATGCACAGGGGCATTGTCTTGTTGAAAGATCCAATTTGGTCCACAAATATTTGGTCCAGCTTCCAATAAATGATCTTCAAGCATGCCTTGATACTTCTTTGAATTCATTCTTTGAGTTATAAATGCTAAATCTGTGGTTCCGTTGAATCCAAACGCACCCCACACCATTATTGATCCCCCACCCATTTGGCGTTTTGAAAATATTTGTTTTTCGGTTCTTAAATCGTGCCAATAATACTTCCAACCGTCTGGACCATCTAAGTTGAATTTTTTTTCATCACTGAACAAAACTTCAATCCATTCTTCGGACCATGTCATGTGTTTTTGTGCCCAATCAAGTCTGTCACTTTTGTGCTTTAATGAAAGTGGTGGCATTACAGCTTTTTTTCTGAATTTTAACATTGGAGATTTATTTAAAACTCTCCACACTGTTGTGCTGCTACAAGGCAAGTCTAATTCTTGTTTTATTTTTCTTACTGATGTTTGTTTTGTGGAGCAAACCTTGATGATTTGTCTACAATCTCGAGGAGTAAGCTTGGGTTTTGGACCTGTCTTGAATTTTGGTACATCCTTGCCACGTCTTTTTGATAAATAATCACCAACAGTTGATTTTGGACGATTTATATATGCTGCAATTTCTCTTATTGACTTGCCTTGTGATTTATAGGCATCAATCTGCCCTTTTTCATAATCAGATAAATTCTTTGTTCTACCCATTTTAGAACGTTGAACAACGTAAAGAATTTGTATTACAATTAGATATGTAAGCTAATTTGCATATTTCAATGCTTGAAACTAAACAATATTCTGTTTAAGTCATAAAATGAGTGCCTGTCCGGATAAATATGTAACAGTTTTTTTGTATAAGATTTTCAAAAATATTATTTTCAGTGACAAAATATTAATGTTTGATTAAAATTCTTATTTTGCAGTGTAGAAACATGTAAATCCATATTATTTTTAATAAAACATTTGTCACTTAATGCAGCAAATTTGTGTTTCACTTTAATTTTTTCGTGTCCGTATAAATTTGAAACACACCTTATATATATATATATATATACATATATTTAAGATGTTTAATTTTTGAAATACTAAATTTTTTTAGTCATATTTTTGGCTCACAACTTGATATTCATTCTGGTGGAAAAGATTTAATTTTTCCACATCATGAAAATGAAGAAAGACAATCTGAAGTCTATCATAATACTACTCAATGGGCAAATTATTGGATTCATACAGGTTTGAAATGTTTTGAAATAATTTTAAGGTAAATATATTTTAAATATTAATATTAAAATTTAATTTTAAAGGTCATTTACATTTAAGTAATGATGTTAAAATGGCAAAGTCTTTGAATAATACCATATCTGTCAAGGATTTTCTCAAAGAGTACACACCAAATGATTTTAGAATAATGTGCCTTAGAATACCATATCAAAATGGTAAGTTTGTATATAATATATATGTAACTGTGAAAGACCAAAATTAGAGAATGTCAATATTCTCCGATGAATGTTGATACATACAAAATACATCGGTGAAAGACCGAATATTTAGTTATGTGAGAGGCCGGACTTGAAAAGAAAATTTTATTCAAAAATTTTGTTCGAAAAAAAAAAAGATTGCTACGGATGTGATTATATCCTTTCCCACGGACTTACTTCCCTGTTTGAGTGACACATCGAATGTGTCACTAGGAATCAAACGCGAAAAATCGCCATTGGATGTGAAGAACGATTTTACCAAAAAAGGACAAGAATTGCGAGGGGGAGGACCCCAAATAAAGGAGAAGGTTCGATGACGCGACAGGGAGTTCGCCCGACAGAAGAGTTCACGTCCTCGAAGGTTGGTCGTGTGTGTACACTCGGATACATTTTACCGCCGATGCTCCTCCAATAGCCAGTGATCAGAAGCTTAACCGCCGATGAGTCCAAGTACCCACCAAGAACATGTCTTCACCGGAAAAAGGACCCAATTCAAGAAAGCGATCTTCAGGTAAATACCATGCGCGAATAATTGTAAACTCTCTCTCATAAGTGTAACTAGTTTAGGCCTATATAATCAATAAACGGATATTAATTTCTATAATCGAATTGTAAAGCATACTTCTTTAGCTTAATTGGTCTCCATCCCGAGTTCAAGAGTCCACATACGTGACTGCTCGCGCGTAAATTCGAACGTAATGGTCTCTGTGTCTATCCAAAAGACACAGTGGTGTCAGTCCTGATAAATTTGTCATTGCCGTCTTCGCCGACGCAATGTCGACCCTTCAGTCCTGTGGTGCCGAAGTATAGAGGGGACCCTTCAGCATTGTCACAGTTACATTATTATACATTTGAACAATCGCCGATGTATGTCAACAAGCACAGATAAACTTTGGTGGAGGTCGAAACAACACCTAAGAAGCCAATGTCGACAGAGAGGCGACAGTCTGTCGCCAAATTCTTTGCCGTTTCCTTCTGCTCAAATTGGTGATACCATACAAATACAAGTCCCTGATGTTGATCGTGGCCGTACAGATTCCCGAAATTTGTTGTCAGTTGTTGGAATAGAAGACTCCGACCTTTATAAATTAGCAAACAAAAATGGTACCCTCAAGCAGCTTTATATTTGTAATCAGTTCGTAATTTGTAAAGAAAAGTTACTTTACATAGATGAGATTTCTTCTCAAGAAATATCACTGAGAGAAGCAGCTGCAGCTAATTCGAAAAGTGGAGGGCAAGGCTATACATGCTGTCATTGCAAAAAGAAGTGTTCCCCAAATAAATGCAGTTGTAAAAGCTCTTGTCCAATTCAAAGTGCCATAACAGTTTAAGTTGTTGCAATAAATAAAATTCTATAATGTTATCACATAATCTATGTGTAAGTTTATTATTGTATTATTTTCTTTAATGATTTAGAACATACTGTTCATTTTAGGTTCAACAGTTTATTTACATGTGCTGTTACTTAAGCTTTCTCCTATTTTGACATATTAAAGAGTTGCATTTTTGTCTTAATGTAATAAAAATATTTTTATTCAACATTCACCATCACTGCATGTTGAATGTTGACATTTGCCAGTGTAAGTGAGAAATAATGATATTTAGCAAATATTTTGTACATACATGAAATGACTGTGTGAATGCTGACATTCACCAGAGAGTGAGATATTCATCAGATATTGGTCATTCACAGTAACATATATATATAATAATATAATTTAAAAAATTTTAATGAACAGTTATTTATTCTATTTCAGTGTTTCTTAATGGGGGCAATATCGCCCCATGTGGGCGATTTTTCATGTTGAGGGGGCGATTAATAACAATTTATATTTTGGGGGCAAAAAACAATTTTCTGGGCGATATAGTAAAACATTATATTAAGAATAATTACATATTTTATTCGTTATATCATACAATAATTAAACAAATAACATTATACTAGTCACTAGTCTATTCAATGCAGTATGAATTTGGCATTAGCCTTGGCTCTCGGCATCAGAATTTTGAAGTGAAGGGGCAATACTACATAGCAGTTTTATTGAAGGGGGCGATACTATGTTGAAGGGGCAACGATTCGTTACAGGTTGAGAAACACTGTTCTATTTAATTAAACAGAGTTTCACAGATACTATTTTTAAAAATCTTATTATGTTTAAGATTATATATTTCTTTCACTTTATTCTTTGACTACAAATATTCATTATAAGATTTTTTTGTCTTGCATTTGATAAAGTCTATTTAAAGAGAAAATACTAGAAATAAGTCCTGTATTTTTTTTTACTAGTGTATTGATTAAATATATTTCATGTTTTTTTTATCACATAATTCAATCCATTTGACACAATTGATCATATAATAAATTTGATGTCATCTCATGTCACAGTTATCGGATATTATATGCAACAACTTAGATATAGCAGAAAACTGCATGATGATATAGAAATTTTGAGAAAATATAAAAATAAATAACTACAATCACATTTCACCCTGATTTTTGTGATAAAGGCAATCAATTCATAAGTTGTCATTGACATGTTAACATGATAAATTATAACCAAATAATTAATTTAAGTGCCATTACAGCACATATAGTTCTCATTCAGAATATAGTTATATTCTGAATGAGAACAAATTATTTTGGTCCTGCTCTTCAAAGAATACTTTATTTGCAATATAGTAGAGCATTGATTATCCGACTCAATTGGGGACTGGGGTTGGTCGGATAACTGAAAAAACGGATAAAAAAAAAGTATGAAAAAATACATTATTAGTATAGTATATTAGTATATCCCATGTAATTAGTATACAGGTAACCCCCGTATAACACGGTAGTTACGTTCCAAAAAATTGCCGTGTTATGCGAATCCGTGTTATACAAAACAAAGAACTAGTACGAAAAGGAGGGTTAGGTTCCAAAAATTAAAAAACATGCTATTATATTTTCATAATTAAGATAAATATCTTTATTAAAATTTTCTTAAGTGATACATATTAATATAAATTAAACAATGTTTTCTTCGTCATCACTAAAAGCACTATTAACCGAGAGCGTTTTCTTTTTGGCAAGTTATCCTTATCCTCTGAGTATTTTTCTGCATTATCTTCAGATCCATGCTTTACCTTTTGCAAAAAGTATGTAATTTTAGATTGCTTGCTTCTAGTTAAAAGATCTTTATAAATTTCCTTATATGGTGCTAAGCACTTATGAAGAATAAAGCAAGTATGGAATAAGGGAAAAACATCTGTCAACATCAGAAGCAGAAGCGTCGAGATCTGACAACATTGAAACAAGTTTCGAGAAGGACCATGTGTATCGACAGAAGGAAAAGAAAATTTACATACTTAAGTACTAATAGTTCACGAAAATTATTATTTTCGTGAACTATTATTTCTTAAGTATGTAAAAATTTATTACATTTCTTGTTGTATGGGGGTTTTACCCAATTCTCGAACCGTGTCAGAGTGAATCCGTGCTATAACAGTACCGTGTTATACGGGGATGGTACCAATTCTTGAATCGTGTTAGAGTGAATCCGTGCTATAGAAGTGCCGTGTTATACAGGGGTTACCTGTATTAGTATATTGCTATTAACCCACTTCATGTTGAATTTTCATCGATGTTAAGCCTAACAAATTTTTTTTTTAAATAATAATCGTTGCTATTGTATCGTTAAAAATTATATTTAATTTTTAACGATACAATATAACGCCGAACTCAGTGTTTTTGTTTTTGTTTATTAATTAACTTTGGCGTGTTAGTCAACATATTGTTTACTAAGAGATGGAAACTGCGAAAAACCTCTTCTACATTTTGCTGAAGCAAAAGAAACAGTGGCACAGACTACTTGCCCAACTGCACTTTCTGTTAAACTGCAGAACGCAAAGGATTGTACCGAAGTCAATTTCGTTTAAGTACAAGGCATTCCCACCGTGTCTACGAAGGTTTCTTCCTAGTGTGGAAAAGTCTCTCCTCGCAAAGCTGATTAGGAACAAACGAAAGATCCTTGCAGAGGCGGAGCTCAGCCTCTATGCAACACACCTGCAGTTCACCAAAGCTTGTGAGCCTGCTTCACTCTACGAGCAGCTAGGCAAAATACAGAGTATAGCGTCCTATTTTGCCCAGAAGCTAGAAAAGAAATTGAATAACAAGCTCCAGTGGTTAGCACGTTCGTCGCACAATCAAAGAAAAGTGGAGGTGAATATCCCATATTATAATTACACGGATGAAAACGTGCCCAACATAGTGCATAAAGTTCTACAACGGGGACCTAAATACATCCCGCCTACCAACGCTAACCTTTCCCATTTGATTCCGGCTACGTTAGCAGCACTTAAGTTCTGCAAGAAGGACCCTACATGCTCGCAAATGGAATTGTCCGTAATTACGAAGCTTACTACAGCAAAACAACGATCCGGTAAGCCCAGTGGCTTTGTGGACCGTCGAGTGGTAGAACACTTCCTTGCCAAAGCCAACTTGAGACTTCTAGTCTCTGACAAGGACCAGAAGTTTGTGCTGTGCAGAGAAAATGACTTTTTAACCAGGGCCAACGAATTTCTAACGCAGTCACATTCCTCGGAGATGAGTGAGGACCCTACGCCGATGGTATTAAGGAAGGCAAGAAGAATCATCGCCTTACCAGGTGTTTCCTCAACCCTAACGGGGTTGCTCGACCCCCCCTCCAATGTTGCGTGTCCAAGGTTGTTCTTTCAGCCAAAAACACATAAGACAAACTGGCCGTTACGTCCTCTGGTAAACAAACGGTCTCATCCCACCTATTATTTAGAAAAAGCGCTTGCCAAATTCCTTCGCGCAATAGTTCCGGAATCCCCATATGTCACTCCCTCTTCTGTAGTTGCTAAATCCACCATTGCTTCAAGTATTGGGGCACTACAGCCATGCACCTATACCTTCTACAAGCTAGATGTAATATCCTTATATCCTTCTGTGCCCACCTTTGAGGCTGTAATGCTGGCTAATTCGCTGCTTCTAAAAGAGGGCTTTAGCATCCAACAGGTGCTCGATATACGTGATGCCCTCACCTTCGTCACCGAGCACAATTACTTCTGTTTCAATCGAAAGATCTATTTGCAAAAACAAGGGGTCCCAATGGGTTCCCCTTTATCCGCTATCCTAGCGGAACTTGTTATGAGAGAGATAGAGCGCAGAACGTTCGATTTCCCGCTTGCCATCCATTACCCGAGACTGTATTTGCGTTATGTTGACGACATCCTCATAGCATGGGAGGACACAGAGGAGTCGTTCCTCATCTTCATGCAACAACTCGCAAGTATATATCCTTCCATCAATTTCACTTGGGAAAAAGAAAGGGATGCGGAAGTAGCGTTCTTAGACTTGCATATACGTAAATTCGCGGAAGGACTACAATTCTCGGTCTATCACAAATCTGGCATGGCCCCGCACATTATACCAGCTGAGGCCTTTCAGCCTTCTCGATACGTTAACACTGCCATTGCCTCCCTTGTCAGAAGGGCTTATTTACTGTCGTCTACGCAGGAGCTGATAAACGTCGAATTAGAGATCATCGATATGGCGGTACGCGCTGCGGGCTTTTCGCGTGCAAAGTTTACGTATGTGCTCAATAAGGTAAACAAGGCACTGTTTCCATGTACTACTTTATGCAGCAAAAGAGAATCTTCAAAGGTTCAAGTAGCGTTGCCTTACTTTGGACCCATATCTTTACGTATCTGCAGAATCTTTAAGCAGCACAACCTTGTTCTACCTTTAACCCCACTTCCAAGCCTACGCAAACTTATTTGCAATGATAGAGACAAATTTTCCATTCTTGAGAAATCGGGGGTCTATGCTGTACCGTTGGAAAATCAGGCAATGGGAGTAAATACAAGATATATCGGGGCCACCACTAGAATGCTTTCCAGCCGCCTTGATGAGCACCAAGACGATGTTATGAGGGGAAGACACACCACCGAGCTCGCAAAAAAGGTACTTGAGCAGGGTTACAACCCGCTATGGTCCCAAGTGGTTATGCTCAAGAGCTGCAAAGATCGAAAAACTGTTTTTATATGGGAATCTCTCCTCACTACCACCTTGGACACTTGCAACACCCCTACCCTTGAGCTGCCCAGTGTATGGGTCACGTTGTATAAGCGATTAAGCGAGTACTCGTAGTCTCTAGAATGCATGCAGCGAGAGCATAGCTCTGCGCATGCGCCAGCTCGCACTTCACGGAGCTATCTGCTCGTTCGGCTTTCGAATTATGTTTAAATTTCTACGTGTTCTTAACGGCTTTAGCACAATTTCAATTTATATTACGCGTTCTATTTTGTGTTCGATTATTTTTTGTCTAAATTGCCTGAGGACGACGACAATAAGCTCGTCGAAAGTACTAGCGATAATAAAACGCATATAACGCCGAACTCAGTGTTTTTGTTTTTGTTTATAAATTATTTTATTGCTCACAAAACAAACAACCACTCATAATTAGAAAATTAAGCCTCGTTTAAATACTGGCATCCCTTTCATGGTCAAGCCAGTGTTGCCAGCTAAAACACCAAAAATTTAACAGAAATAATATTAAACTAGCCAAATACTGTAGTGCCACATCACTAGTGGATATTTGAATTTGCCGACTAGAACGCGGTCGGTTAACCGATGTGACGGTTGATCAGGAGTCGGATAATCGATGCTCTACTGTATATATAATTGTTAAATACAGTTATTTTACATTATTATTTTTTGAAAATTCTTGTTACAAACTTTATTTCTTTAAATGGCTAAAAGATTCAGGGGCAATACAATAGAAATTGCATGAAAAACCGAACAAATCATATGCCACGCTATTTGAGAAACATCCCTGTCTAGGCACGTGGGAATATAGCACCACCATCTTCGAAAGAAGAGTCCAAACAGGGAGACTAAATTTTAAAAAGGCCTTGTCCTCATCTATGTACAGAGGCATGGAATGATTTGATTTGGAATGAACGAAGCTCTGCCCACTCGGCCAGCTGAGAGAATGCTGATTGTCACAATGTTGCACTGATGGACAGAATGAGTTGAGATTCTAACCAATGCAATGTTATGGAATGTTGACAACTTATAACTTAACAGTTAATATATAAAAATTTACCGTGGTGAAATAATCACAAACAAAACCGTGTTTCACAAACGCAGTCTTTCGTTGTACTCGAGAATTATTTACCCAACAGTCCCATATCTTCTAAAAGGGGAAACAGGGAGCCGGTATCCTGGATCACCTGTTCCAGAGAGAGTAGATTGGAAGTTGCACAGTCCAGGCGATTTAGGAAATCCAGGCTAAACTGTGCATTTTCTGATTTAGAGGCTGCCATAGTGGTTGGAACTTGGACGGTATCGTACAACTGATTGGTGCTGGTCATGATGGATGGCAACACACCTGGTTAGCATATACTCTCCTGCTGTTGGATACTGCTAGATGAGTCGAAGGTGGCACTACTTGAGTCTGGTGATGAGTAACTGGCGAAGGTCACTGAGACTGAATGGCACCTTTGGTCATCTGAATGGACAACTGATTGGCCACATAATTCTCTAAACTCGTTGCCAGATTCAAATTATTATAGTTCATCTGTTGTGGGACGGGAGGACGGCCATAGGGGAGTTGCAGTGTTTGGGTTGTGCCCACTCCCGGGTGCTGTGGCATGAAATCCTGCCTCCATTTCTTGCCCAGGCCCGGAGGACATTGAAATATATTCAATCCCTCGGGACCCACGTTGACATTAGGAGGTTTCTGATGTTTAGACAGTGCATTTGTGTAAATGGGTTTATTATTGACTGCATTCGTGCCCGCTTCCTGCTGACTGTAATGAGGTGGAGCTGTGTTTTACTGAAGAGAGATCTGGCTCTGTAAACTGTCTAGATAAGATCGATTCAATCCTCTCCAACTCAACTCGGTGGTCTGCATAATTCGTTGGTTTTGTGAAGCAACAGTCAGTCCTTGTATATTATCTCTCACAAGATGTTGTTGTTGTTGGACAGAAATAGCTAAACCAGTGCTGGCATGGCATGCATAATCCAGAGGAGGTGGCCTTTGTTGAGGCACAAATCTAATGAGTAATGTCTGACTGATGGGCTGGTGATTATTTTCTGCACCATACTGAGCAGTGCCAAAATTAACTTTCTGAATCTGAGACATGTGGAAGTTGACCACCGAATTTGAATTTGGGGAATAATTAACAAATAATTCGCTCTGTTGTTGATTGGTCATGGTAGTTCTCTGTTTACTGCCATCAAGTCTCAATTGTTGTTCTTGGGATACCTGTAGACGTTGAGTATTTTGATTGATATGAATTTGTTGAGTTTGACTCAGATAAATAGATGCTGATGAAGATCTAGGCACACCAGATGAACTGTACTGGAGAGTTGGCGGAGGGTTAATTCCTGTGCTCTCAAAAATCCCGGACTTTGTTTCTGTTTTTGACCTGTTGGTTCCGTGAAATGAGAGAGCGGACTTGTTATGCCATACGTCACAGCTCCTCCCAAACCTAACTGTGGTTTTTGTTCTAAATTTGCATTACCACAATAATTTGGACGTAATTTTTGTTTGTTGATTTGTTATTGAAGAGTTTGTCACTTATGAACTTCATCAACCGAAGTGTTGGATGAAAAATTTTCTTGCTTGAAAATCATACCATTGTTAGATCTGACCACAGAATTTTGAAATCCCTGCTGGCGATTATAGCTCATAGTTGGAAACATTCCCACCTTTTGAACCTGATTTAAATTAGTCAATGTATTGTTGAGAAAATTACATCTAATGGAAGTCAAATCATCAGAAAAACTGTCTGAACTGAATGGATAGCGAGAATGTGGTGATCCCATTCCTAGAGATATGTTTTGTCGTTGCAATGACTGTGGTTGATGATGTTGGGATTGCTGTTGTTGGGTTTCCTGTGGTTGAAAACTGTTGTTGTTGTTGTTGTTGTTGTTGCTGCTGTTGCCGTTTTCATTGCATATTTTGATGTTGTTTGACCATCTGTTTGAGAGTCAATGCTGCCGGGCTAGGTTCAGTCAGTTTAAAATGTAATACCAAGCCAGAAAGATTATTAGAATTTTGGAAACACCGTCGTAGATACACTTTGTGAATTTAGATTATTGGCAACTGTTGCTCCCAGATAGAAAATAAATGATGATGAATGAAGTGATTGACCAGTAGGAATCTGAGCTGCAGTGAAATGCTGTGAAGTGGACGGACTACCCACTAATTTCCCCATGCCCATCATTGTAGATGCGAGTGAACATAAGTGTCCTTCACAGACTTGTGTCCATTTTTTTGTCCAAGTAACATTGCTTTTCAAGCAATGTTACTTGCTTGACAAGCACTCCAACATTGCTTAGACTCCAAGTAACATTGCTTGAAAAGCAATGTTACTTGGAGTCTAAGGCTAAACATTGCTTGAAAACAAGTAAGGCTTGGAACATTGCTTGAAAAGCAATGTCTCATGATGCTGTTGTTCGTACAGACCGAGTGCTTAGTTCACTATCCAAAGACAAATATCTCCTTGTCAAAATCCAAACCAAATTTTCCGAGTAACATTCCGACAATAATAACATTATTATGTCAAATTCCCAGCTGTATTGTCTCATTTTATCCCCAAAACTAACACTTCTTGGCCTCTAAATATCAAAAACAGTCCATTAAACGTCACCAAGTGAAGGAATTGAAGGGGTGAAGGGGAAGGGGGTTCATTTTACATTATTATTAATAATTATTAAATATAAATGTAACTGTTTAATTATATATTATCAAAATCCGTAGAAATTGCTGAATTAATGGGCTATTTTTAAAATTTAAATATAGTTTAACATAAATATGATAAATTTAATTATCAATAAATTTCTAGTCTGATTGTGTCAAAATAATTAAGAAATAATCTAGTAATTCAGCAGATTACTTCTATGTGAGTGTTTTAACTTTTTAATATTTATCAGAACTTTTTTCTGAAACAATTTTTCCCATCCCCAAACAACAGTGTTTGCTGCTGTTGGTTATCTATAATGTCTAATATATCAAATTAATGTTTCACAACTATTGGTCAGTTGTTTACATAATAAGATTTCAAGCTACCTATAAGGAATATTTGAGGAACCTGATCCTGATTCCAATAATTTACAAATTTCATCTATGCTGGTTGATTCTATTGCAATTTAGATTTGACCATAATTGACATACAGTTCTTGATGTTCTTGTGCTTCACACTTTACATTAACTGATCAATTAATCATTGACAACCAAATTAAATTGAAATTATAGAATCAATAAAGCATAATCAGTTAAATATTATTTCTTAAATTTCTTTTTCTAAATATGTTTGTTTATAAATTATAATAATAATTATAATAATAATAAAGATTTTATCTTATTGTATATGTTTTTGTAACTTTTTGTTGAGATGTTGAATATCTTGAAGAGACTGTTAAGGAATGCAAGTCAATTAATAAAAAGTTTAATGAATTTTTGGCTGAGACTGAAGCATATGTTGATGGAGAATCAAATTATGGACCTATAGATGAAAGTCATCTCTTAAAATGGTAATTATTTTAATAATTAATTGTATTTTTATCATTAATTTTAAATTAGTTTATGATTTTAGATAGCATGAAAAACATTTTGAAAAATTAGCATCTGATTTTTTTAAAATTTATTTTGTTATACAGTAGATCCCCCTATAAAACCGTTTCCTATAGTTATGATTCCTATAAAAATTGTGGCATTATCCGTAAACAACAGTAAAAATAACTCCTATAATAAGTAAAACGTCATCGGGCAGCCGAACTACTTACCCGCCGTCCGTAGCGCCACGCTACGGAGAGATTTCTATCGTCTGGACAGTATTATATAAATTATATATAAATTAGGTACTGTACATATAATTATATATTAATTATATATAAATTAGGTACTGTATATATAATTATATATTAACTTAATTTATTGTAACTTTATTATAATTAAATATATATTTTTCGCCGTCTAGCGTCACGCTACGGCGAGTTAGGCGACCTATCGTCTGTTTAGTACTGTAATTTTATACATTTCTTGTGAAAGAAACATTTCTTATTTAACGGCCATAAAAATTATTTATATTAATGATGTCTCCAAAGGTCAACGAAGTTTTCGCAGAAAAATAATATCAGAAATCGCGGCCGCAATTTGATGCGCTGTTCCGCGACGAAACCAAGCTTTAGCAACGAGCGTAGTCAAAGGGTACACACTCGGTAAGTAATCCTACAATTTTTTGTTTATAACGTAGTTTATACGGATTATTTTAAAAAAAATATACGTATTTTGGAAATGTTGAGTCGAATTAGTCTAGAATCGATTAATTTTATGAAAGAAAACCTTTCAAACAGCCGTAGTCCGTAAACTATGATTCCTACAAAATTGATTCATAAAGAACGGAACGTATCTACCGTCTTATAGGGGGATCTACTGTACTTTGTTTCATCTACTACTAAGATCAACTAAATTTAAATAAATTATTAAGTGTATAATGAAACTGAAACTGTCTTGATGTGTTAATGTTGCAAAATAAATAAACATGTTCAATATAAGATGAAAAGGTGAAAATTTATTTATTGTATATGATATCAGTTGTAACTTGCCTTATTTGATATGGATTTTCCCAATTTTTAAAATTGTTGATATTATACATATTCATCCATATCTAAATTGAATAATATTTCAATAGAATATCTGTAGTAAGATCCAAAAATTTTCATATAGATCCTTTCCTTGAATAGTTTAAAACACCAGTACACAACTACCTTTAAAGTAATCCCCTTGGGTAATGATACACTTCTGCCAGTGCTTGTACAGTTTCTGGAAGCACTGCTGTAAGCCATCTTTTGAATCCATCAGTAATGCTGCTTTTACCTCATTTGACAATTCAACAATGTCCCTGCAGATATTATTTCATCAATGGAGAGAGATGAAAATTGCAAGGGGCTAAGTTAGGTGAATAGGCAGGATATGGAAGCACATTAGTACCATTTCTGGCAAGAAACTCTGTGATCATTACGAATCGATGCATAAGTGTGTTGTCTTGGAAAAGATACCATTGTTAACTTCACCATATCTCAGACTGTTTACAACAGATAGACTCATGCAAACAATGTAAAATGTCCAGATAACACTCCTTGTTCACTATTCTGCCATCTGGAGTAATTTTGAATGGATTGTCACAGGTGAGCATAATCTCTAAATTTTTGGATCTTATGTCGTATTTGTCCATATTTACAGTTTCACTCATCTTATAAAATAATTTTTCATTCTGGTTTTAATAATTTTTAAAATTATTGATACTAATTAGATGACACTGTAGTCATAATGTCATAATGCTTTGATGAGAGCAGTTAGCTATTATAGAACATATTAAGTTTGTGGTCAATTTCAATAATTTGATTACAATATTAATAGACCTGTATGTAAATCTTTATTTAAATTTCTTGATGCATCTTAGAATCAAAGAAATATATTGGCATTTTTATTACTTTTAATAATTTTTTATATTATTAAAAAATAAAATATAAATCAAAAACTGCATTGTAAACATATTTTAGATGTTATTTATTCAAATATATATTGTTAAGTATAAATATTATGAAAATATTGTTATAATTGTATATACAGGTACCCTGTGCTTAACACAGAATTTGATTAATGCATGAAATTAATAACAGCAATTCCTTTATATAACAACAGAAATTTTAATTAACATGGCTTTACCAGCTGTCTTTACTGAACATAGATACCATATTTGATTAATGCAATTTTGACATATGCAGTAACATTGTGGGATTAATTAATTGCATTAATCAAGGAATACCTGTACAAGGACAAGTCAAAAAAGAGAGGATGAATTTATTACTCACAAAATACATTAGGCAAGGTGCAGGTTGTTATAGCATTTTCAATTTCATTGAATTGTATGCACTTGGCCCAACATGTCTGTCAGTCTTGGAAGATGTGCTGAAAACTCTTTTGACATCATCTTCAGAATTGCCTTCAACTTCTTTGGGATGACCATTGATGAACTGAAACACTGGTCCTGCAGCTTTAATTTCAGATGAGGGAACAAAAATGTCACATGGAGCTAGGTCAAGGCTGTATAAAGGACCTGCAGCACACATTTGATGTTTGATGGTTTGATACATGTTTTCCAAGACCAAAGAAGGTTGAGGTTATTTGGTTCATGAGAAAGATAATGGTGATTTTCTTCTTTGATTACAGTAGAACAGTTTACCAACATGAAGTGTCCCTATATAGTACAGTACAGTGATTACTGGGAAGTATCATGTGACTGTTTTGAAGACCCTGGCCAAACACATCCAACAAAAAAGCCCTGATTTGCATCTATCTAGTTGGTGTCTTCACCACAATAATGTAAGCCATTATGTTGCCAACATTATTGCATAATATTTAGCCTGACAATACATCAAATGTGTGCCAAACTTCTAAAGCCCAGACTTTACTCCATGTGACTTTTTTTCTCACTTGTCTGAAGTTGGAGCTTGAACCAGTGTTTTGGCTCAGCAGCTGTTCTGAAGATGTCAAAAAACATGTTCCAGCATGTCTTCTAGGACTGGCAGGCACATTGGGCTCAATGGGGACTAAGGTATGTTTCAAATTTATATGGACACGAAAAAATTAAAGTGAAACCCAAATTTGCTGCATTAAGTGACAAATGTTTTATTAAAAATAACATGGATTTACATGTTTCCTCACTGCAAAATAAGAATTTTAATCAAACATTAACATTTTGTCACTGAAAATAATATTTTTGAAAATTTTGTACAAAAAAAGTTACATATTTTTTTTGTTGAATTTTTCCGTCCGATGGCTGGATTATTATTAAATAAATGAAAGACAAGTCTGTCCAAGAGGGATCACCATTTATTTTGCATTTCGGATGAGCAGTAAGACATCTGTGTGTCACCAATTCTTTTTACTTTTAATTGGATGTTTGTGTTTTTTAAAGGACTTTTTTTACCTTTTGGCGGCATGAAGCCTTAAAAGGAAGGCCTGTCGCCATTAATGTGAATTGTATATACAGGTACCCTGTGCTTAACACAGAATTTGATTAATGCATGAAATTAATAACAGCAATTCCTTTATATAACAACAGAAATTTTAATTAACATGGCTTTACCAGCTGTCTTTACTGAACATAGATACCATATTTGATTAATGCAATTTTGACATATGCAGTAACATTGTGGGATTAATTAATTGCATTAATCAAGGAATACCTGTACAAGGACAAGTCAAAAAAGAGAGGATGAATTTATTACTCACAAAATACATTAGGCAAGGTGCAGGTTGTTATAGCATTTTCAATTTCATTGAATTGTATGCACTTGGCCCAACATGTCTGTCAGTCTTGGAAGATGTGCTGAAAACTCTTTTGACATCATCTTCAGAATTGCCTTCAACTTCTTTGGGATGACCATTGATGAACTGAAACACTGGTCCTGCAGCTTTAATTTCAGATGAGGGAACAAAAATGTCACATGGAGCTAGGTCAAGGCTGTATAAAGGACCTGCAGCACACATTTGATGTTTGATGGTTTGATACATGTTTTCCAAGACCAAAGAAGGTTGAGGTTATTTGGTTCATGAGAAAGATAATGGTGATTTTCTTCTTTGATTACAGTAGAACAGTTTACCAACATGAAGTGTCCCTATATAGTACAGTACAGTGATTACTGGGAAGTATCATGTGACTGTTTTGAAGACCCTGGCCAAACACATCCAACAAAAAAGCCCTGATTTGCATCTATCTAGTTGGTGTCTTCACCACAATAATGTAAGCCATTATGTTGCCAACATTATTGCATAATATTTAGCCTGACAATACATCAAATGTGTGCCAAACTTCTAAAGCCCAGACTTTACTCCATGTGACTTTTTTTCTCACTTGTCTGAAGTTGGAGCTTGAACCAGTGTTTTGGCTCAGCAGCTGTTCTGAAGATGTCAAAAAACATGTTCCAGCATGTCTTCTAGGACTGGCAGGCACATTGGGCTCAATGGGGACTAAGGTATGTTTCAAATTTATATGGACACGAAAAAATTAAAGTGAAACCCAAATTTGCTGCATTAAGTGACAAATGTTTTATTAAAAATAACATGGATTTACATGTTTCCACACTGCAAAATAAGAATTTTAATCAAACATTAACATTTTGTCACTGAAAATAATATTTTTGAAAATTTTGTACAAAAAACTGTTACATATTTTTTTTGTTGAATTTTTCCGTCCGATGGCTGGATTATTATTAAATAAATGAAAGACAAGTCTGTCCAAGAGGGATCACCATTTATTTTGCATTTCGGATGAGCAGTAAGACATCTGTGTGTCACCAATTCTTTTTACTTTTAATTGGATGTTTGTGTTTTTTAAAGGACTTTTTTTACCTTTTGGCGGCATGAAGCCTTAAAAGGAAGGCCTGTCGCCATTAATGTGTATGTGCAGTCCGAAATGCAAAATAAATGGTGATCCCTCTTGGACAGACTTGTCTTTGATTTATTT